AGATACCATGTATGTCGCAGCTGTCCCACTGCCAAGACAAACAGCGACAACACTATCCGTTTACTCTCAAAGCCCCCCCCGGACTCTTTCCTTTTGTCTTTTTAACGATCTATTTGGAGTACTCCATTGCCTTTTTTTTATCAATAAGTTATTTCCTGCTGCAAATCTTGCAGTAAATAAATACTTGTCGCGGCGGCGGGGGCGAGGGCATCGCGCCATCGGGGGACAAGGCGGCGCTGCTCGGGGCGGCGGCGTCTCGGGTGCGCACCGGCGGCCGCGTGCTCGGTGCGCCGCTGCCTGAGACGGAGAGGACGCGCGAGCTCGACAACGAGGGCGTGCTGCAGCTGCAGAAGCAGATGATGGGCGAGCAGGACCAGCAGGTCGAGGCCCTCGGCGCCATCATCCGCCGCCAGAAGGAGATGGGCCTGCAGATCAACGAGGAGATCGAGGCGACGACCGACATGCTCGACCGCATGAACGAGGACGTCGACCGCGTCGGCGGCAAGGTGCGCGTCGCCAAGAACCGCATCAAGAAGCTCTGACTGGGTGCCGTCCTTCTTCTTCTTCTCCGCGGCGTCCTCGGCGTGGCCGCCGTCGTGGTCTGGGCGCGCATGCTGGCCGGGGCGTGTGCGGGTGTCATTGCGTGGTGTTTGGAGTTTGCCGTTATGGTTCTCGGGGCGCGCGCTCGTCGATGATGAGCGCCGACGGCGATTGTTTGCTACTTGTACTCAGGTTCATCGACAGCATGTACTATCTAATACCAGACTGAGGTGAAATATGGTCTTCTCCAAGCTGCATGAGAAATCGATGCTGGGCCAAGATATTGGTTGACGATTTGACTTTCCCTGCTACTTCATCGCGATGGTCTTGAAACTTTACGTCTGCCATTCAATTCTGCCTACCTAGTTTTGCGTGATACGTCCGACTATCAACTCGAAAATGCCCAGTTTGATCAATCCACAAGCCCACAAGCTACAAATCACCTTGACCGCAATTGGTGGCCCAACCTAAACAAAGACCGTCCCAAGTCCAACGTCGCCCGCAGCGGTCCCACGTGTCAGCTGCAGCGCTCGCATCCCTGTGCCGGCATCATCGCAACGCAGGGTCCATTTCGTAATCTCTCTTCACAAAAGCTTGACAAGCAACTTTGCAGCAACACAAATACGCAGATCAAGCCCGTCTTCCCTCCAGCCTGTTCTCGTTTTCGTCTCCTCGCAATCCCAATCTGGAAACGGACAGGTCACGAGCGCCGGCGCCAAAAGCAAGTAGCAGCGCTGGCTCCGCCGCGGTGGCGCTACGTCACTTAGCGCCGCGGAAGACGAGGGACGACCCGGGGTTGCTGGGCAACGGGCGTGATCCGTGATGTGATGAGATTTCCGCTCGCATGGTGCCCTCCATCCGCTCTTTGTTTGACAACCTTTTCCATTGTCGACGGCCATCTCATTTTGTTCTTCGTCCTCGCCAAGGGGTGGGTTCCTTTGAGATGGTCCCATTAGCGAGACAGCCCTTCAAGCTCCATGGGCGAGGATCGCGAATTTCGTTCGAAGCCTTTAAGAGTCATCTCGTCGCTGATACCTCCAGCCGCCTGACAGAGGAAATCCATGTCCCCCCACCAGCTGCAAGAGCGTGCACGACGCCTGGCCCTGACTCTGGCTGTTCCGCGATTCGCTGCACGGGTGGAGCGCAGGACGCCCATTGACCGCTAGATGAGCATCACGGTGAGCCTGTTGGAGGGCGAAGCGTCTTTTCTGTCGTGGGATTGGGCCGTCCGGCAAGTCTTCCAGTGAGGGGGTTCAGCTTGGATGATGTGGCGAGGTCAACAGGCTGCGTTTTTTTGAATTTATCCGAGTGGTCGGCGGGTCGACGAAGCCTGCGCACGATAACGTTCGTTGGTCGCTGGGCATTGCCCGAAGCTCAGCACCTGAGAAAAAGAGAGACAAGGGATCGAGGAGGGGGATCATGATGCGATACGAAATATCCTGTTTTGGTTGAACAGGCAGCCACGGGGATTCGTGGGAACTGGCTGTTCGTGAGAGAACAGGGGTGGAAGCTCAGGAGCTGCCTCTGGTACCATGTAAAATGAGGGGAGAGTTTTGCGGGTTCCCGAGTGTGCCGTTGACGAACAGCCAGAGCTCAGGATTTTGCATCCAACAAACGAGCAACGGTCATTGTCCTTCACGGTAGAGTCTTCTCTCTACGTATTCTTGATGATCGTGCTTCATGCGAGAGAGGTGGTACTGGTACTGTTGTACATGTGCTTGTAGTTCTGGCGCCTGTCAAAACGACCTCGTGGAACGCTGGCGCCAGCGACGATGACAGGGGCGCACAGCCACTGAAACCACCCACAACCAGGTCTCTGCTCCTGCCCCGTACGGCGGGCCGCCACTGCTACGCCGCGCTATGCCCCTTCTATGCAAGAGTCACTGTGGCCCGCCTCCACCTCTCCTGCCCCGGGGCGCACCACGACACCTACCTTACCTTAGACTGGGCCCTTCCCCCCCTTCCCCCATGCACCTTCCGACTCGAAAGTAAACACATCCTAGGTGCTTCCCCGACAAGAAAGATTCTTCACCCCTTCGCCTGTTGCCGCCCCTACTTCCCCCCTCAAGACCTTTTCTTGACACCATCGCCAACTCATAATAACCAGCAGCTGCAATTGAACCTCGAGCCTCTCCTGGCTCTCCGCGAATCCCGCATCGCAAGTCGTAGCCAGCCAGATCCGGGCCCCATCTCGGCTTTGGATACTGAACGACAATACGACTCAACAGCCTGGAGCTTGGACACCAGCGTTCCTCCAACACGCTACTTTCTGGGAGCCTGGCATTCGTTGTACATCTTCCTTTTTCGTAGGTGCAAGAAAATTCCGTCCGGCCATCGATCGAAGGTCCTGTTGGCTTAGCAGAACACATCGCCCGATCATCAATCCACCTTCTCCTACTGGCTGTTGAACCTTGGCGGGAGTCGAGCTGACGAGCGCCATGATAGTCCAATCTTCGCGACGTCACCAACACAAATGGCCACCCAAAGACACCACATTCGACCCCTCCGATCTTGACCTGCAGTCCTGAGTTGCTGCACCCGCACTTTTGCCCTGAGCTCCCCAGCTCTGCTTGGCAACCGTGCTCCGAGCATCGACCCTGTTGTTCGACTGCCTCGGTATCTACAGCGGTGACCCCTGAAGGACCTTCGTGCCTGACAACGCATCACAACAACGCAACATGAGCCACCAAGGTCCCCCGCCCCCTCCGCCGCCCCATGGCGAGAACCCTAAAACCACGAGCGGCGGCGGCGGCGGCGGTGGTGGCCTGGGTCCTGGCAACTACGACATCTTTGTTATCCCGCAACGTGACAAAGGCGGAGGATTCATTTACCTGCCCTCCATGAGTCCCAACGGCCCCAGCTTCGCCGCTGGTTTTGCTTCCGCCCTCGTGCTGGTCGTCATATTCCAGAGTATGGCGCCAGCCTTTCAAGTATGGTGGAGCAACTTCCAAGGCATGGGCAGCATGGGCATGACTCTCTTGTTGATAGCAGTCGCCATCGGGGCGTGGGCCTGGGGTAAGTCGCAGGCCGCGCAGGCCGAGGCCTCTTCGTCAAACGCCGGAGGCCACGCCGGCACCGGAGGCTCCTACGGCGCCCGACCGAATCCACAGGCGCACAGCAGCCCGCCTCCCAACGCTGGTGGCCCACCTCCGCCGCCACACAACGAACCACCCCCCTCGAACCAGAATCGCGGAGGAGGCCCCAAGACCTCCTGGCAACAAGCACCGCCTCAGCCGGAAGAAGCGCCTCCGCCGGAACCTGCACGGCCCGAGACGCCGCCTCCAAGACCAAAGACGCCTCCGAGGCCGAAAACGCCTCCGCCGAGGCCCAAGACACCACCCGCGAGGGCGAAGAGTCCGCAGCCAAAGCCGAAAACGCCGACGCCTGCGCCGCCTCCCAAACCGAAGGAGGATTCGACGTGGGAGAAGGCCCGCGAGGAAACCAGGAGGAGAGAGGCTGAGCGCAAGGCAAAGCTTGAGGAAGAGAAACGGAAAGCCGAGGCCGCCCGCAGGTTACGCGAGTTCCGAGAGAAGGAGGCTCGTGAACGAGAAAGACGCGACAAGGAAGCTCGTGAGCAGCGGGAGAAGTTGGAGCGAGAAAATAAGGAAAAGGAAGAGCTCAAGGCGAGGCTTGAGAAGGAGACGCGAGAACGAGAACGGCTCGAAAAGGAAAAGGCTGATAGGGAAGCCAAAGAACAGGAAGATGCTCGCAAGAAGGAGATAGAAGATCTTCGTAGGAAGGAGGCCTGGGAGAGGAAGAAGCGTGAGATGGAACTCAAGATCAAGCGCGAGGCGGAGGAGAAGTCCAAACGCGAGGCGGAGGAGGCCGCGCAGAAGGCTCGTCAGGGAAGTACGTATGCTTACTCGGGGGTCGGCGAGAAGACCAGCCTCCGAGACGGCGCCAAAGCTCCAGCCCCCCCGTCTTCACCCTCGCCAACAAAGCCTGCTCCTTCTACAGCTCCGACGAACAACGCGCGGCCGCCGGCCCCATCTGCCTCTGCCTCGGCGAGGACGCACTTGCGACCCGACGACGATGCGTACTCGTATCGTCCGTACGACACTCCCAAGTCGTCTCGCCGAACGGCGCCATCCTCCGTGGGCTCCGAATCGTCCTGGGCGCACTCCGCCACGACGGCCCGCACGACGCCGCCGCCTAGCATGCGCGGTCCATACACAACGAAGGATCCCGACAAGATTGTGATCAAGGCGGTGTATCTGTTCATGAACCAGTACGCCAAGACGCCGGCTAGCAACTTGCTTTCGGGGATCGGCACGGTGACGGACGGCCTCATTCTCCGGATCACCACCGAGGGTCTCTTCATCGACGACGATGTTCGAGGCGTCCCGCAGCGAGAGTGGGATGTCAAAGCATGGACACTGAAGCTTGTCGAGGTATGGTGTCCCCCGCACTGCCTGTCTGGTTCTTCGTCTTCTTCTGGGTCTGGCCCATCTGCAAACCAACCGACGAGCTTTCTGCACAAGATGGCGCAAGCGCAGCGTGCTACTCGCAACTCGGCGGCGGACAGGGGCGCCAATAAGCCTTACCTCCGCGATGAGGCTGAGGGATACCTGGCCGAGATGTTAAAATCCTGCAAGGAGTGCTGCCGTCTCGGCCTGTGCGAGAGCAAGCTACGCAACACGAACATGCCGTCTTCCGCCGGACATACGGGAGAGTGGAAGTCCAAGGGGCTGCATGTGCTGCGAGCCACGGTGCGGGATCAGGAGGGCAAGCGCTACTTGTTCGTCGTGGACGAGGAGGAGGCGTGGAAGTTGCCAGTCGGCCTCTCGAGACTGCGCAAAGGGACCCAGGTGCGTCAACTGGGGGTCAGCGGCATGACGGCGACGGATGCGAGAACAACGCTCGACCTGCTGGGTTGGGTGTAGTTGGATGGTGAAGGGTGATTGAGGCCATGTCGGGCGACGACAGGAAGGTAGGCTGGGAATTCATGCAGCAGCGCGGCGTTTTGATAGCGGGATGCTGTTACGAGAAGGGGCATCTGGAA